GGCTTGCAATAACGGTACTATAACCTTTTGAAGCATAGTTGAGCTATGCTTGAATGTTATTATTGTAGAGGTCATGTTGATTGATATGAGTTATTGCTTTAAATTTTTTGCTATGCCATGAGGAATTCAAGTGCATTTCGAGTATGTGAACTATGTTTGGTTGTAGACACATTAGTAATCACTTACTTTGTGTCATTTCAGTACGCCATGTTGGTAAGCCTCTTGAGTTGGTGATGTATAAAGAGGTAATTCATCCATAAGACGAAGGTGTTCCAATGCATAGGAAATAGCCAAAAGACTCAGAAGAAATTTGTCTGAATTCTCTCTTCTTTGTATATTTTGTTGTTGATTGATATGAGTTATGCTTATAAATGTTTTGCTATGCATGAAGGAATTCATGCTTTCGATATGTGAACTATGTTGGTTGTAACACTTAGTATCACTTACTTTGTGTCAAAGTACGCATGTTGGAGCTCTGAGTTTGAGTGTAGAGGTAGGTCAGCATAGACCAAGTGTTCCAATGCTAGGAATGCAAAAGACTCAGAAGAAATTGTCTGAATTCTCTCTTCTTTAAATATTTGCCAAATGGCTTATGTGACAAAAGATCTCAAGTGGTTGAGGGTCAAAACATTTGTAATGTGCATGCCTTCTTATAATAGCATTTCCTTTAGTACCTAGTCCTCCACTTTGAAAGAGTGATGTTTGGCCCCATAGTCATAATAGTCGACGGTACGTTCACCCCTGGTTGTCTTGATACGAACTTTTATCCCTCTTGTTGTAATGAGCTTGCTGAGAGTAAAAATCCTTCCTCTTACCAAGAGACAAATACGTTTGGTGACTTAGCGAATAGCTAAATGAGGCAAGAGAGGATGCAATGGGTGTCTGATGACCAAGATCTCCTCACTTGGTAGAACTTGACTTCCACTTCCCACTTGTTGATAGGGGTTAACCATATGGGATGGCTCCCTTGGTATGTCTTTACCTCGACAAATGCATGATTGTAAGCTTGCATCATTACATCAGAGTAAGTCTTCCAAGTGTTAGCATTCATCATGCACTTGAAGAAACATTCATGCATGCCTACCGTGAAGGCCTTGAGTTTTGTTTTATCATCTGCCTCAACATAACGAGAGTACCCATAGCAAAAACGATAGGCATATTCATGCAATGACTTAATTGATTTCTGACGAATAATGTATAGTTCATCAGCGGAGTGTACACGATCAGCTTGGAAGATGTGTTGAGTCACGAAAAGCCTCCTTAGCTTACGAAGGAATCCACAGTATTAGGTCGAAGACAACAATACCAATTGAGAGCTCTAATATAGAGAGTTGAGGGGAATATGAGACATCATTCTTCATCATTGTGTCTTTGGTATGCTATGGTAGATTCAAAGAGGTATATATGCTCAATTAGATCTTCCCTCCCAGTATAAGATTGCAAGCTAAGCTTCTGTTTCATTTCTCCTTGTAGAGGGGTGCCAAGGATTCTCTTTGTCAGAGGGCTGGGCCTTGGTTGATCCCAGCCAAGGATTTGGGCATGACGCTCGGCCTTTAGCCTGTTCACCTTTTCGAGAAGTTGCAGGATAAAAAGGTCATGAGTGGAGTCAAGCATCATTAACTCTCATTTGCAAGTTTTCCTCATCCCTTGGAAGTATGGTGTTTGGTCAAAGGCATGTTGCTTTTTCTTAGATTCACCGTACTGGATTTCGAGACGTGTCGTTTGGAAGTCCGCCGAATCTCCTTCACCTTCTTGTCCCTTCAAGGCATGTGGCTCATTTCTTGGATTATGTGTTGGCCTACGTTATGGTAGAGGACTGAGCCCTTCGATGACTCTTGGGTCTTTGATCCTTGAGCCTATGTGGATAGAATTTTTTTGACAATATCTTAGGAAGTCTCGACAGTCACAGTAAACGAATCTTGATCATTCCATTCCTTCTGCAAGATGGTGCCTTCCTCCACTTCTCCTACTTTAGGTCGAAGCAGTTGGGTTGAGAGAAGTCTCATGTTGATCGACATTTCGATGAGTAGCTCGCTCCTTGTCAGGAATACCCATGTCGAAGGCAGGTGACCCTCCGTGTTGGGGGGCAGCCAGTTGATGGTTGATTTCCACGGGGATGATGAGCTCGTGTGTTTGAGTATGCCTAGCCTCATAGAGCATCTCGAAGAGCTTCTCATACTGCTCCTAGAGGACCTTGTTGTTCTTAGCCTACAGCTCATCGACTTTAGCCTGAAGAGCAAACTTCTTTCGTTCATTCTTTTGTTGCTTCGCACTAGGTGCGAAGGGGGTGTCGTTATGTGTGTTGTGGCTTCCTTCGCTTCCCATGTTAGAGAGGGATGCCTGGTCAAAAGAGAGCGTACGAATGGTGGAAACCAGCTTAACAAAGCTGAAGAGAGTAAGAATAAGTGTGTTTCCCACAGACGGCGCCAAATGTTAATGTACAAAATCAGTAAGGACTTTGGTATAATAGAAAGTGTCAAGTTTGTGACCTTCACTAGATTGCTCCAGTCACTAGTGTGGATAAGTATGTAAATGGATAGAGACAGAGAAGCAAACACAGGATGTACGTGGTTCACCCAGATTGGCTACGTCCACGGAGTTGAGGAGTTCTCATTAATTGTGAAGGGTTTACACAAATGCACAGGTTCAAGCTTTCCTTTAGAGAGTCCTAGTAAATGATGAGATCCCAAATTCCTAACGAAGTATGAAAGTTCACTTGTTTATAAAGTTTTTGGGGTAGAATTTGCGCAAAAAAATGTTTGTAATTACTTCATCCGATTGATATAAATATAAGGCATTCAATCATTTCTTCAAAATTTATTTTCAAATTCTTTACCCAATAATACTTTTCAATAACATATGCTGGAACTTAATTTGCTAACTTCAATTTGGTAATTCGGTTCCTATCTCTGTTATTTTTTTTGTTAATACATCGATATTTTTACATTAAGAAAAGAGAGAGTTCGGCTAAGCCACACAATAGGCAACTTAACTGGGTTGCTACCTCTATTGGAGATACATTTGTTCTACCTGGCATGGCAAATCTTACTTTGCTACCCAATTGCTACCTCCCTTGAGATGCTATTAGGTAATATCATTCCTCTTAGATTGGTCAAGTTGACCCTATCTCAGGTATGATATTTCACACCGATCCAATACTGGAACGATATGAATGTGATTGTAATTTTAATCTCCTCCAATACAATTTATCTGGAAAAAAGACAGGGTGGGGTGGGAATGTTAAGAGAGAGTTAAGGAAAATGTTAATTTTGGACTTGAATCCCAGGACTTCACCACAGAGGTTTAAATCCTAATTTTTCATACAAGGGCTATCTTCCAATTATCTTATCACCATGAAGACCATTAATCCAATTTAGCCTTAGGGTAGAGATCCTTTCTAGAGCTTAAGGACCAAGAAATCTGAACCACTTAAGTTGAATCTAACGTCCTTATTAACTCATTCCACTAACCCACCTAACACAAGTTAAGGGCTCTGATTTCTCTCTCACACAAACCAAGGCCTCAAATTTCCTGGTCCTTAGATTCCGGATAGCAAGGTTTGGAGAGGATCCAAAGAACTTTTCTTTTTTTGGTTGACAACGGGGCAAAAGCCCGAAAGAAAAAGAAAGATTACATAAGAATGTAAAGAGGCCACGAGACCCCAATTATATCTGCAATCAACAACCGACGACAAGAATGAGGCGCTTGCTAAAAAAAACTTGGACCCAAACGAGCTAAATTGTTAGCAACAAAATTCTTTTCACGATAAATATAATGAATTATACAAGACCAACTTTGGTGCATAAGGGCATGACAATTCATTAATAAACTTCCCAAGGGAGGATTATCCACTTTTCATTTAAAATCAATTGTACTGCAAGTGCACAATCAGATTCCACCATAATTTTCTTAATTCCATTATTCCATGCAAGTCGCAGCTCAATAAAAATACCCCAGACTTTAGTACAAAGAATCTCACATCGACCAAGATTAGCACAAAAGCCAGAAACCCCATGCCCCCAACGAGTTTCTTAGGACACTACCAGCACCAATGAAATTGGTCTCCCCTTGCAACACCCTTTAACATTAAGCTTTACCAAACCCTCAAGACGAGGTTCCCAATGAAAAAAAAAAGCATGTGTTCGAAGGGGCTTTATGGAGGAAACCATCTTCGCCAGAAGCCAATCTTTTAAGTAGTTATAATAACAGATTTGGGATCATTAGGGAGATCAAATCCTAGTCAAAAACAATTTTGTTTTGCCAGTGCTACAAGAACGAAGAAGTGATGCAAAAAATAAGTCTCCATTCCAAATTATCCAAGACTAATATTCTAGAAGAGAGATTATTTTGGAACCAAGTACTAGAACAAGCATTAGTAAAAAATTGATCAAGAACATGGAAACTTCTCCAAACCTTAACAACAGAGGAGCAATCTCTAAAGACATGAATAATTGATTCAAAATCACCATCACATCTGCGGCATGAATGATCCGTAGCCAACCCCCTCTAACTCGTTGAGCATTGGTCAGTAATTTGTCCAACAACACAAGCCCAAAAAGGGCACTTAAGGAGGAAGATGCAACTACCAGATAAAGCTTCATCACCACTTGGTTTTCATATTAGCGCCTAGGTCCAATACATAGGCAAACTTCACATGAAAGTTACCATCATTAGTGGTCTCCATATACACTTGTCTAACGAGCCACTAATACCATCCACAGGAATATTAACAATTTTATCCACAATTATTTTAGGAAGGAAATAGAGCAAACGTTTTGCATCCCAAATCCCACCATAGCAAAAATCAGCCATTGAAGACGTAAGCATAGTTGACGACAGTCGTTGAAGAGAGAACTTTAGAAGAGGCCTACAATTTGACCAGTAAGTAGTCAGTCCAAAATTTAATATTCTCACCAGATCCGATACGCCAAACCAAAGCTTTTTTCAACAACGAATCACCATCAATGAAGCATTCCCAAGGAACATTAGCGCCCTTCGACATAGCAGTATTTAACAAATGTTTATTCTGTCCTGCTAGATATTTATCACGTAACTAATGCACCCAAAGTCCATCATCCTGTTGAATCACCCTCCAAGAATTCTTAGCAAGCCAGGCAGAGTTCATACTACGCATATTCTCGAGGCCTAATCCACCCACTAATTTAGGCGAACAAACTTGTTTCCAGTCCACTTTCTGAATCTTTTATAGCATACACCGCAAGAGAAGAAGTAACAACTTGAATCAAAGTAGTCTGCCTTACTAGTGAGAGTGTGAGCTTTCCAAGCAGCAAGTCTTTTTTGGGTCCGTTCTACCAAGTCCTTGCAAGTCGTCATCGTTTCTACTTCTCAAAACTTCAACTTTTCTTTGATTTTTCCAGCCGTTCGATTCTCTGAAGTCAATCGAGACCATCCAAATGATTGCCGGCCTAAGTTTACACATACTATGGTAGGCAAAGAAGCAAAGCTCATCACTTTGCCTCCTTATACCTAATGATTGCCGACTTGCAGTTCAGAGCAAGCAAGGTGGGAACTTTCTGAACAAATAAAGTTTGGGAGGGAGAGAGAGTGAGTGAGAAGGAAGAGAGAGAAGCGCGAGGCTTTAGCTTTTGAAGAGAGAGAGCTTTGGCTTTTGAAAAGGAGAGAGGGAAGCTTGTCGAGAAATGGAGGGCAGCAGCAGTAGTAAGAGTGGCGTTGTGGTGGTGGCCAATGAGAGAGGGCCAAGTGGGGGGAATCCGAATCCAGAATCCGTTTACTTTGAAAGTGGGTCAAGTATTTACAGGCTTTGGCGTAGGCTGCGGTGTTGGTATCGGAGTTGGCCGCCCTATAAATCTAGGTACTCTCTCTCTCTCTCTCTCTCTCTCGTACAGTGTTCTCTCTCTAAATTTAATTTCATATGGAAAATGGACTTGGGGCGGCTCTTCAAACCCAAAAATGGTGAAATCCATCAGACACAAGTTGCTAAGAAACCATGTATTACTTCCCAATTTCTCTGCATTGCATTTGTTGATTGTTTTCAGAAGTTGGGTCTGTTTGGTTGCTGATAAAATGTAGGAATTTCTGCAAAGTTGTCTTTATCAATGTGTAATCACAAGTTGTTTTGAAATCTTCCCCTGGAAATTGACTTCACTTTATTTATTTTGCTCTACAAATTCATTTTTGAACTTGGTTGCATTCAAAAAAATGAGTTATTCCATCATTGTTAAACTACCAGGCTATTAGCTTTTAGTATCTTGAAATATTGAAGCCGGTTTTTCGTTGTCATCCATTATAGTTGCTTCAGTTTCTAGTGGGATTAATCAATAATGATTGCTTTGTCATGAAAACAAGGGTGTTCTTAAATCTTAAGGAAGTTTTAGGTACTCTGCAGGGAAGTTGGTTTGGATTGGTGTTTATGTGGTCCTCTGATACTTATCTGGTAGTGACTAGTTATAAGACTGCTTTAATTGTTGCCTAAGTAACAATGGAATGGTAAAGTTGCGGATGCTGAACCGGTAGGGAGAGACAGGTGATTTGTGTTTAGAACAAGATTTCATGTTGAGTTGTCTAATACTGGTCTTTTAAAACAAGATTCTCTTAGCCCTTAAAAAGGAAGCTGGCATATTTTAAGGTTATCCTGGACTTGCTAACTCTTGTATGGTGTACCGATCAAAATACAAACTCCAGGACAAATGCGGATTATATCAAAATGTGCAACCAGAGTTGTATGAGAAAATTTAGTGCATTGTTCACATATATTTTTGTTTAGGTTTTATTCTATGAAGATTATGAATTCGCTGTTGGTGGATACCCGTAGATATCATTTATTTTCAAGCCTTCTTTAACATATAGTATTACCTTAGAGTTAAAATTAGAAAAAAACAAATAGGAGTAAGAAACAATTCGATTTTGCAAGCATGTCTTAATCCAAGTAATTAGCGCAATGGCGTTCTAGGATTCATATAGCCGACCCCACTTAGTGGGAAAAGGCTTTGTTGTTGTTGTTGTTGTCTTAATCCAAGTAATTCAGTATTTAACTATTTGATATCGGATGAATGTTTAAGTCACGCATGGTAGTTGTGCATCTTTTAATGTACAGATACTATTGACAATACTACTACAATCAAATTTCTCTTGTATGGTTGTTATGCTTGTAGATATTAGTTAACGCGTATTGATTTAAACTATGTACCAGGTGCAATACCAGCACTGAATCAAGTCATGGGTGCTACAAGAGGTGCCACTGATGCATTATCTGGTGTTAGCAGGCATGTAAACAACACTGTAAGTCAAATATATTCCTCTTTTCTTTTTTCACTTCTCTGAGTATCCCTGTCATTGCCATGAAAAGAGAAAGATCAAATGTGTCGTATACTTACAGACTTCCCCATTCTCTATCCCTGTTTCTCGTTTTCCAGTTGAGGAAGGTGGGAGCCAAGAGCATTGAAGCCGGCATTGGATGTGGAGTTGGTATTGGCCATGGTTTTGGAGTTGGTATGTCATTTCATGTGTTTCAATGATGTTCTGTAATATGTTCTGCTTCATGTTTTTCCATTTTCTGATGCACTATTATGGTGACTAATGTTTACACGTTCCTGGTGAAACCTATGGTTGTCAAGCAATTTGAGTTCATGTAATGCATTCTGATAGCTGGTGCTTGTGTCGCCTAATTTCTATCAGAAAATTTTGTAGGCTATGTGTTGCCTAATTTTGTAATGTAAACAAATCTGCTCTTCATGTTTTAGTAGTACACTTTCATGTGTGTTTTGGTTCGAAGGCTTTCACAGCAGCAGCCTTTCAAATCTACTTGTTCTTTTATGTGTACCATACATATTGAATGTTTGTTAATTTAAAAATCATTAGTATTTATTTCAAGTGTAGTTTTTGAACTGGCAGTAGTGAAATTAGAAAAGGAAAAAGAGTGAAAGAGTATGGCATGAAATTATATTTTTCTGGATAACAATGTTTGTTTTCAATAGCTGAATTATTGACTGCCGATTGCAGGCCTTGCTCCGATGCCAGGAGTGTTGCAGCAAATTCAATTTCGTTTTGTAGTAAGTATTAGTTTCTCTTGTCAGGTGTTGTTGCCTTTTACAGGCTACTGATGCATAGAACTCTGTATTCTCTAGCAAGGAATGACAAAGATGATGATGAAGTTTGGAATTTTTCCCAATTTACCCATTGGTCAAGGTGCCCTCCCAAGTCCTTTGCAAAGTGCCATGGGAACTTTAAATGACCTGAGCCAACATAAAATGGGAAGTAACACGCAGTTGTCAACAAAACTAACAGACTACGCATCTCAAGGCTTGCCTGGATGTGGACATAACGGTGCTGGTTCTCCAGTTGATACACCTTTTGGTAGTCGAATAGAAAATGTTCTCAGCAGTTTCCAGAATCCACTTCTGAAAGGAAAGGACAGTGAACAGAATGAAGGGGTATGTAACACATAGAACATGTTTATTCGTATGTTTGCTTACTTAGAAGATTATTTATGATTTTACAATCATCAGAGGTTTAATGATACGTTTCTAACGACTTGTACTGCATACGTGCTAGTGTATGCAGTATAACAGTCTCTAGTTGGGTTTAGTTCTAACAATAATCCCTACGAGCTGTGGTTTCTGTGAAAGTTTTACTTAATGACGATGTAAGTGCTATTGTAATTACTTATCTGCCTAAGAGAATGTTCAAAAGTGTAGAACTGCATATATGCATTTGACGGACACTTCAACTGAACTCTCCAACGACCTATGTTCCCATGATTCTTTACTCTCTCTCTCTCTCTCATGTTGGTGGTTGAGTGGTAGTTTTCGCACCTGAGCTGATCCTTCGTGTTCTAATATTTATTGTGGTTATGTAATTCTTGATTTTACTTGTGTAGGCTGGACGCGTGAGGTCGGAGAATAAAATCCTTCAAATGGTAATGTCTAATATCGCTGTTTGTTACCGTTGCTTTCTATTTATTTATATAAATCAAAATGGCAAACTGAAATTGCCTATGCATCAGATATTGAAACACCAGCAAGTCATTGAAGAGCTCATGGAGGAGAACGAGAAGCTTCGCCAAGTACTAGTGGAAGACCTGAAAGTATCACCTAGCAAGCTGCAAGCAAGTTATTCAAGTAAAAACACATCTCCGTGTACAGATTGTTTCGAGTGCCGAAGAAAACAAAGGAGAAAGTAGATGAAGTATAAAGATTCTGTTAGATAGCTTTCAAGCGCAATGACAACAACGAAAGATATTAACCAACGCCCCTTTGACCGGAGTTTGATTGCTCTGCTTACATGGCCGGACGCCCTAAGGAGCATCATCTGGGATCAGTGGTTTACAATTTACAAGCTAATCAAAGAAACTATGCAAGTAGAATCCAAGTTGCCTTACAGAGAGAGGCATTACACATAGAAACCAGTTGAGGTGAGGTGCCCTGGTTAGTTTTAGACATAAGTTTAGACACAACTATTGGGCCATTGGATCACTATCAACGGATGAGATTGAATCTGACATGGCAAGTTTAATTTACATTTGAAATAATAGATCAAACATGTCATGTTATTGAGAATACTTGGAAATGTTATTGAGAAGAAAGAATATTAACCAAACATCTCTGTTGTTCAAGGGTTTAATGAAAACAGGAAATCTAGGCTAAAGTGATTTCCCCATTTTTTAGGCTTCATTAAGGCAATATTGATGCATAAGGATCCGAGCTTATGATGGCCATAACTCATAAGGTTATGACATACACACACAAATATATATATATGGGATAGGATCAAGGGACAAACATTTTGACACTTCCTTGTAGTCTTTAGATTTTATAACATTCAACTGTCTATATTAAGAGTGATGCGGAGAGTTTTAAAATTAAATGACTTGGATGATGATGTGGATTATAACTAATAAAAAAACACTAATCTAAATTGAAAATTAATATCTAATAGGATAAAATTGAAAAAACCAATAATCAAACTTTGAACCTAGCATAAAAAAATCAAAAAATAAGAAAAACAAAAACATAAAAATACTATAACCTCCATCTCCCTCCCTGCAATACCTTGGATGAATTCTCCTATTTCATTTTATAAAAAATGAACCCTAATAAATAAATAAAAGGAATGAGCAAAAGATTGATTGCCAAGAAATAATTCAACAAAGCCATGAGTCATTAAAAAAATTCTTGTTTTTTCCTTTTCTAAAGTGTGATTTATTTTCCTCTCTCATTTTTAATTTTATTTTTAATTACCTTCCATATTTTATGTTTTTTGAATTTTATTTTTATGTTTAATATTAGTTAAAATCCACTTAAGCATTCATGTTATTTAATAAATGAATATGGACCTTTGGATGTTTTATAATCTAAAGGTTAAAAGAAGTGTAAAAATATTTGTCAAAATGTTTGTCCCTTGATCCTATCCCAATATGGGACACTATATATACATATATGTATATGTATATGTATATGTATATGTATATGTATATGTATATGTATAGTATGTATGTATATGTATGTATATGTATAATATGTATGTATATGTGTGTATATGTGTGTATATATATATGTATATGTATAATATGTATGTATCTGTGTGTATATATATGTATGTATATGTATAGTATGTATGTATATGTATAATATGTATGTATATGTGTATATATATGTATATATGTATATATATATGTATAATATGTATGTGTATATATATATATGTATGTATATGTATATATATGTATAATATGTATGTATATGTATATATGTATAATATGTATATATATGTGTGTGTATATATATATGTATGTATATGTATAATATGTATGTATATATAAGGTTCATATTGGTTCTACACGCTACAAATACAATGTTTCCCCATTACAGAGGTAGATTGAGGAGGGAGAGGTAGCAGAGTTGCAATCTTACAAGCCCCAAATTTGAAGGGGCTCTAAAAAAATTTTGCTATCTAATATTTTTATGTAAAAGTTCGATTATCATCAAATACGAATTTAAACTACAATAGCTAACTCATTGTGAGATTTAGTCCACGGTCCCATCCCTAGTGTAGATAATATCGTTTGTTAAAAAAAAATATTTGTATGTAATAATGTTATGTACAAAAATAAATTTGCTTTTATTAGCACTTCATAAATTTATTATGCACTCCTTATAAGTGTAAATTTTTCTTTCTAAATATTAAAATTTGGAGTGCACGATGAGATATTTGGATTGCTAACAACAACACTCTAAATTTATTTATTTTTTTTCAATCCTATTTTATAATAATGCTTTTATTCAAGTGGAACTTTAAAGTTAGAGATTTTGAAGGATTTTTTTTTTTGGTTTGGTTGTTTAAGATTGAACTGCTTTTGCTTATTTAGTGAATGTTATGTTTGTAGCTCTTTTTACTTATTATTCAGTGATATTTGTAAACTTACAATCAATGAATCCTAAAGTTTGTTTTGATTTAAGTTATTATTTTCTAGCATCAATACATTGTCCTACTTTTTTTGCAAAACTATCTTACAAGGGAGCACTTTTATAAGTTTTGCACGAGATTCCCGAACTCTCAGAGACGACGTTGCCCCATTGATATGTATCATAACCTATTTGATTAGAAAGCAATGTAAGAGTTTTACTATCATGTGTGCATGAAGGACATAAGAAGAATCAAGATGATATAGATAAAGCATGTGAACCCGGATTAATTGAACATAAATGGTTGCACTCCAGATGTAACCACAGTGTGAGCGAGAGAAAAATGTGTAACCAAATTGCACCCATCATGTCATGTGCGTAGAGTTTGGTAAGACGTCACTTTTGTAACTTTAACTTTAACATCGATGCCTCTAAAATTTTGTTTGGGTTGAATTTATTTCTTTTATAAAAATAAATTTGTATATTAGAATATTGTTATTTAAATTATCTCTATTAATTAATGAAATACTCTTTGTCAATCAAAAGATGATGAAAAGACTATTTAGTTTTTTATCACACAAAAAAAATGATAGGCAATAATGTAATTCACAGATCCAAATTTTATTGTTTTTTATTAAAACCTCACCTACATGTGAAGTTCAAATATCTCCTATAATTAAAATTAAAAAAAAAAAAAACCAAAAACCAAAAACTAAACCCTCCCCCCCCCCCCCCCCAACGTTCTCTCTCTCTCTCTCTCTCTCTCTCTCTCTATCCTTCTCATTTTTCTAAAAATATGTGTTCATACACACAAAGTGTGTAGACAAATACTAGTATTAATTAAATTAATCGTCTTTGTCAACCAAAAAAAGTGAAAAATATTTTTGTCTTCTATCATAACAAAAAAGTTAAGTATAGTAACATAATTTCACAAAACAAAATTTTGTTGTTTTTTGTTTAAGTCTCACTTACATATGATTTTATCATTTCTAATTTAAAAAAAATAAAAAACAAACCTCTCCTCCTACTTATACATTCTCTCTCACTCTCTTCCTCTCTTCTTCAATTTTAAACACAAAAGTAAAAAAAGTTCACACTTTATGTGTAGGCTTATACTAGTTAACTCCGAAAAAAGTCATCATGCACTTTTCTGTTTTTATTTTATTTTATTTTATCAAGTAGGAATAATTTCTTTGAAGCATCGATCATAATTTCCGACTTTCGTAACGAGAGCATTATTTCAGATGAACCGAAGATCAGATGAGCAAAAGACTTGGCAAACACAAAATGTATTGAACCAAATTGGTATCCTATGTGTGAAAAATGCAAAACTGTCTCCCTCTCCCAATTTTTTTTTGTGGGGCTAAGGAACCATGTGCGCATCACTTTCTTATTCATCCTGTTTTGTCACATGCATTGTATCCCCACCATTCATTCCCTGTGCTTTCACCACACTAGAGGGTCATTCCGCTAAGTGGGATCGGTTGTATAAATTCTCCAATGTCATGGCACTCAGTTTTGTATTAAATCTTCTGTTAACTCCAAATACTCTATATCTTTTCTTATAGTCTCTTTCAAAGTCTTCCTAAATTTTCCTCTACCTCTTTTGCCCTAAGCCTCCGCTTCATAGTCATATCTTCTAAGCGGAGCATCTGTAGATTTTTGGCCACTAGCACTACATGCTACTCATATTACTTTTTACATGTAAGTAGAAAGCCTTAAGTTTGACTCTTGCAAATAACAAGTTTGACATGATAGTTGACTTAGTGTGCGACTTAGCACAATCTATTTTCTTACAATTAATATTGTTGTATGAAAAAAAAAAAAAAAAAACCCAACAGAAATCTAAGGACACCATCCTATCCCCAAAAGAAATTCACCATTCCATTTCTTCCGCATAATCCTAGTCCACACAGCTAGCACCTAACCCTTTCAATCCTTCATTCCTTCCCCACCACTTCCACTACATACCAAAAACACATTCATACCATTCATCACTCCTCCATCTAACAATTCCAGCAAGCCACCTACCTTTTTTATTATTAGGCAGACAATTTTAAAACATCTTTTTCTTTTCCCCTTTTCCTTTTGTGATTAATTGGTTGAGTTCTTATAAAAGCTCTTTGATATATTCTCTTGTGCATCTTTATTAAACAGTTTAAGGTTATGTATAAAGCCAACTTTCTATCACTTAGTCACAAAGGCATGATTAGTTAATCCAAATTCTAAAGGAAATACATCATGTGAGCATTTACATGCATATATACGAGGGACTAGCTAATCCCACCTTCAAATGCGTCATTTACACATATTTTTATATGTCTTTGTAATGCTCTATATATGGTGCTTTTCCAAGTCCCTCATATTCAACATTTTGTAATCATTTTCTTTATACTTTTTGGCACTCGATCCCACGACTTTAAAATCCATTACCCAAACATAGACTACCCACTTTAATTATTTAGTCAGTTTAGATGCCAAAACCCAATTATTTGAGTATATGAATCAGATTCCCAAGTCCTGCTTAATTGTCAACCAAAAAAAAAAAAATGAAGGGTAAACAAAATAGTCTAGCATGCAGTACTATGATACGACTGTTGTTAGATTGTAAATCTAAATTATTGATTGATATGACAACATAAACAGTTTATGTTATGAGTATGTGAATCTCAATTATTGATTTTTTTTAATTACAACATAATTTCTGGTAATTGAAGTGATCAATATATAGAATGTGTGTCTACACTTAGGAATGTAGATTGTAGAGTGAACTAATTAAGAGTTGGAAACACGAACAAGAATGAGGGGGTCTCTCTTTATTCGTCTAGTCATCATGAAAATGCTACAAAAGAAGAGCTGCTATTACGTACATATCCAACAAATTGTGTCCTCCAAACTTCATCACCCTCCTCTCACAAATCATCATAACACGGAGCTCCAAAATCATAAAAAATAATCAACCCAAAAAAAAAATTATTAAGAAAAAAAGTAAAGAAATGTTTGAAAGAAGAAATAAGGACAACAAAGAATACACATGATGATGATGATATACTAGCTCTAGTCTACATAAATTTCAAACGAACGAGGGCCTTTTTGTAATTAAACAAGTAGTGCAAGTCCACCCAAGAATGCCACCAAGGCCATGCTACTTCCATGCCCAAAAGAACCTGAGTTTGGAGTGGATCCGACGGGAGTTGGGGTTGGTGTCTGTGCAATGGAGGGTCCTGGTGGAGCTGTAGGGGATCCTGGCATGGCCGGTGCAGGTGGCGAGCTCGAAGATGGCCCTGGGCTTGGACTTGATGGGACTTTAGTAGGGGAAGCCGCCATTGGAGGCGGCATAGCTGGGGTTTTTGGAGCACCCGCTGGGCTGACTCCAGGAGGGGAAGCCGCCATTGGAGGCGGCATAACTGGGGTGGTGGGAGGAGGAGTTTCCATGGTCATGGGCGGTGGTGTCATCATAGGCGGTGGTGTCATCATAGACATTGGCGATGGTGCCATCATAGCCGTCGGCGGCGGTGCCATCATAGTCATCGGCGGCGGTGCCATGGTGGTGGGCGTTGAAGGGGCGGAATATGTCGGTGCTGAGGATGGCCCTTGAGCAATGGACAATGCTACAACAGCAAGTGACACTGTGAGGAAAAGCATGGCACGTGTGAGGGCCATGGCTCTGTGATAGCTGAGAGCCACAGAGAGGGAGAGTTAGGGTTTGGCTGAGGAAGAGGTGAGACAGAGTGAGTGACTGAGTGGGAATTATGTGAGGAATAGGGGTTGGAGATATATAGAGTAAAGGAGTAATATAGAATCCTTTTAGTGGCAAGCATTTGAGTGCTTAGAATTTCATGCTATAAGGGCAGCTGGTTGACACCTACACATGGAGAATGACTTTTTTGTTTTTTTGGTGGTTTGGCCCATATTCTACAAAGCGAATCGATTTGATTTTGTAGCTAAAATAAGTATTTCGTTTAATAATTATCTCGTTTTTATTTTTTATTTTTGATGTTAGAAATAGAAGAAAAATATTAAGGAAATTGAGGAATATAAAATGATGAAAATAATTCATATGATTCTTTTCAGTTTTTATTTTGTATTTCATTACATAACACTACTTTCGCCTTTCCCCATTTCTCATTTCTTCAACATGTTTTTCCTTTATTTATTACACAAAATATGAAAACCAAATAACGAATAGGTATCATACGTAATGTACTCTTATAGTTTAGGGCGTATTCAAGTATAGTACAACAATGCACGTACGTTACAAGTTATTTTGACAAGGTACAATATATTCTTAGAGTTAGAAGAGTCAAACCATTAAAATCTACGTGTTGTAGTCGGTGTTAAGTTAGAATACCGCTTAAATAAAAAGAAATATTGAATCACTTTGGCATGCTTACTTTACTCAACAGGGAAATACTTTTCCCAGAAGTACGTTAAATAAAAGCATGAAAGTGCTATGCATCTACCTGTGGCAGGAACAATTTTTCATGACAGATGATAAAGAAAAAGACTGCAGACAGAGAGAGGAAGCTGCACAAGGGTTTTCTAGTGGACGTTGATTGTATTAATTTTTTTTTTCATTTTTTTTAATTTGTTTCCACTTATTAGTAGGGTGACCCTAAAATCATAAGTATTTTCGGCATACTTAAAAATCTCTATTTAGCGCTGCTTGTGTCACATTTAAGTGTTAAGGGACCGACTACCTCTTTGATTAATTTTTAGATGTTTGAAAAATTAAGAAAATGCATTTAGACCTAGTTAGACGTTGCCTAACCCGTCTAGACCTGTCTATGCAACCGTCTAAGTCACGACTATTACTTAGACAAAAAATTGATAACTTTCATTTTACATTTATTTTTTAATAAAATGTAATAGACTTACTGAATACTTGGATAAACACTCATTATATGTTTGTTCCCCATGTTTTCGATATGTTCTAATACTTTATAATTTATATGTCATTTTATTTTACAATTTATGTATCCTAATACAATTATGTATTTTTTTTAAGAATAAATAGACACTTATTTATATGATATATAATAAATTTTCTTAAATCTGCCTAGTCCATCTAGGCTCCCACCTAACTGCCTAGGCTCAGGCGCTAAACTCCAACATATCACCTGACTAGCACTTATCTTCTTTTAGAACCTTGATCTTGGGGACTTCGTCTGTATTTCTTTGCACAACTGAAAGACTTGCTCGGTTGCACGTAGGGTATCCTAACCTTTGTCCCACCGGAGAAATTTTTCATTGTGACCGAAATAAGGGTGGTACACCATGTGTTCTAATATAAGTGGTGAGAAATTTTATATTTTAAGTTATTAACTTTTTAACACACATATCCTACCATTTGTACAATAACACGTGATATAACATCACGTGTTCCAGTTACACTGAAAAATCTCTCGTCCCACCGACTTGCCACGGGAATCACAGTGACAAAAGCAGCACACCAACATACAATAATTATAATATTAGGAAACCCTACAGTTTAGCGGAATTGATTGATGATTAGTTACAGTATCTACTCAACCTGCAATAAGCTCGCAACTATTCAATCCTGGATGCGTATAAATCAAATTATGTTATGTTATAAAATGTTATGTTGTCATAATACCAAAGTTGTTATTTAAGTTTTACCAAAAAAAAAGTTGTTATTTAAGTAAATATGTGTATGTCTCAATTTACTTGACAAAATAATGTCTGCATTAGTTAATCAACCCTATTTCAAGGGTTTTTTTTTGTTGGCTTTTTGCATGTAAGCATTTCGTAACTTTAGGAAAAAAACGTTTCAAACTGAATATAAGTTTTAAGTAGTAATTGATCTTAGTTGGAGAAAGAAAAACCCCAATTGACTTTGTAGGTGAGAAAATACTCTACAACTAAGAATCAGTTAAAAAACGACAAGTGGAGATGATGGGGTTTTGACATTTTGTTCTCCAATTATATTCTTAAAGTAGTAACTTTACTAACAGTTGTCCGGTTGTTTTTTTTCTTCTAGTTTGCTATTTTTACTCTTTATCCTATCTCTTAGACCTGGCAATTTCTTACATGATTCGTTAACACGACATATAAACAACACGAAAATAACAAATTTCGGGTCGACACGAAAAAAACCTGTTAATAACGGGTCCTTAACAGGTTTACACGAGGTGACACGCGAGTAACTTGTTTCACCACGTTAAGAAAATTGTTATTTTGATGATTTTAAATTTTTTAAACTACAAAAAACTTACTATATATGTCACATCCTGGCCCGGATTCCACCACATCCCGGGCTCGTTCCACCACCGTAACACGATATTATCCTCTTTGGGCATACCATTCCCTCACGGTTTTGTTTTTTGGAACTCACGAGCAACTTCCCAATGGGTCACCCATTCTGGGAGTGCTCTGGCCTCCTTCTCGATTAACTTCGGAGTTCCTACGGAACCCGAAGCCAATGAGCTCCCAAAATGGCTCGTGCTAGGTAGGGATGTGAATATACATTTAAGGATCACTCCCCTAGGCGATGTGGGATGTTACAATCCATCCCCCTTAGGGGCCTGACGTCCTCGTCGGCACACTTCCGCCCAGGGATAGGGTCTGATACCATTGTCACATCTCGGTCCAGGTTCCACCACATCCCGGGCCCGTTCCACCACCGTAACATAATATTGTTCACTTTGGGCTTACCATTCCCTCACGGTTTTGTTTTTGGGAACTCACTAGCAACTTCCCAGTGGGTCACCCATCCTGGGAGTGCTCTGGCCTCCTTCTCGCTTAATTTCGGAGTTCCTACGGAACTCAAAGCCAATGAGCTCCCAAAAGGCCTCGACCTAGGTAGGGATGGGAATATACATTTAAGGATCACTCCCCTAGGCGATGTGGGATGTTACAATATAATACAATAGTCATAGTGTATCTGTATATATTGTTTTATCAAATATGCGTTATTGTATTATTATTCCTTTTAAATTTAAAAAATTCAAGTTTTGTTTATTTATTTATTTTTATAGTGTAATATAGACAAGGAGCGAGTTTAAAAATTATAAAATACATTAATAATAAAAATATCAAGTAATTTAAAAGTACTGAACACGTTAAAAAGTAATAATAATTAATTTACGAGTGCGAAAAAATGTGAAAAAATAGGCAAATGCTCATGATTGAATCATATATGCTTTGAGGATGGGTACATAGCGTTTGAATTTTTAGAACCATACACACCCTCATGAATATTAGGGAGTTCAAAATAAATAAAATTCATAATCATTAATGTACAAGTCTGAAAATGTGAAAACATGTACAAACTCTCGTGATTACATCCTCAACTTTGAAATGCAACTCTCTTCATTTTGCAGATCCTTGAACATTTGATATTTTGTAATAATGTAGTAATGTTTTTTCATTAGGCTATTATTTTGGGTATGTAAAACTTGAAAGACAAATGTTTTGAAGTAATATTTATTGTGACAATGTGGTATGCATATACTAATTTAGTATTATGTTTTCCATTTTTTTGGATCAAATTATGTTTTTCATTTCATTATTTATTGGTTTAAAATATATTTTCCTTAACGGATAACAGGTCGGGTCATGTACCTGATAATATTAACGGTTTGATTTTGGATCGGGTCATATTACATGTTTACTTTAACGGGTGTTACACGACACGACCTGTTAAGATATCGGGTATGTCACGAAAACGACACGAACACATAAACCACGACACGAATGCCAGGTCTACTATCCCTTCTTTCCATTCTCTCACTTTTCTCATTTTAAATTGTTTTTTATTCAAAATTGTTCTTGAGTTTGTCCGCTGTAAATTATTTTGGTTATTTCATGAAAGGTCTGTCAATATCCTCGTTAAATTATCACATCAACGACCACGTGACTATCTTTTTAAGGGTATTTTTGTCAAACCAACCCTTCCACTTAACGAGTATATTGACATATTTTTCATAGAATGACCAAAAAGATTTACGGTTGACTAACTCAGGGACAACTTCTATCAATTTTCATTGTCAATGACCATAGTGAGGAGTAATGTGAATCTCAGGGATCATTTTGACCAAAAAACCTTTAAATTAGGTCTCCTATTTTCAACTTTGGAGAGCTTTATCTTAGCATAGACAGGCTTATATCACCGACCAAAATTCATAATCGTTGAATTTAGTCATTAAATCATTAACTAAAAATTCAATAACAATTGATCTACGTCTATAACCAGTTTATTCTAAAATTTTCACCCATAATATATTGTCTTACAAGCAGTAAAAATCATTCACATGTTTACAAACTTTTTCTTGGTGATGATTGCCATGGGAGCTTTATCACCTGTACACACCAAAACCCGTCCACTTGCTCCACCTTTGCCCCAGTTGTAGCCATGAAGGAGAGGTTGCAAGTACAGTGATATGTGGTTACAATTTTTGCCCCAAGAACCAAGTCACCGGTCACTAGATATGTAGCCGTAGACCTTGTGATGCAATGCCTCTAGCTAGCAGGTTTGTTTGTGTGTTCGAGCGAGTGGAAGGTGAAAATAGGTAGGAACTTTGTCACTGTGAAACATGATGAGCGGGAGGTATTATCTAGTTAGAACATTCTTTAGAT